GTGAAATGGTTGCTGAGATTTCTTAAGCACTCAAACATACAATTGTGTTTAGAACGATGAAATAGCATAAGTGTACCCTGTGAAGAGTTGTGTCCTACCTAGAGCAGTGGTTTTTCCTGGGGAGATTTTAAAATTCCTGTAGGCCAGGCTACATTGCATATTTACAAATTAGTATCTAGAAGTGGCACATAGGCATTGATACTTTGGGTTGTTTTGTTGTTGTTGTTGAGATGTTTGTTTAGTACTAGGGATTAAACCCACTACCACTGAGCCACATCCTCAGCCCTTTGAGTCAGGATCTCACTTAAGTTGCTGAGGCTGGCCTGGAACTTTTAGTCCTCCTGCCTCAGCTTGCAATTCATTATGCTTATAGGTGTGCAGCACCATATCAGGCTTGGGCATTGGTGATTCTTATTGGCTACCAGTAGTTCTAAGGTGCAGCCAAGTTTAGAACTAGTGGAGGAAAGGAGGTTTTAAGTTTTATTTATTCTCCAAGTAAAAATAAGTTCAATCCGTTAATTTTGCAGTTATGAAGATGGCATTATTAGAAGATTACTACTAACCAACAGTTTAAAATGTAAAAATAAAACCCACCTAGCCTGAAAAAGTTAATGCTTTTCCAAAGGTGTTCCATAGCCAAGGAACAGCTTAGGCACAGGGAGAATTAGTCTTACTATGAGCAGATAAAGCCAAGATTTAAAAATGCCTTCTAATCTAAAACATATGTGTGCCCCTGGACTTGAACGCAGTGTAGGCTTCTGCAGTTGTGAAGATTCCTCACAATGGAAACGGATTGTGGTACAGAGTCAAATTTGAAGGTTTAAAGGAAAAGTTTGATTTATGGAAAGTTGTAGGAGGGTAAAGAGAAATGCAGAGAGGGCAAGCAGGAATATGTCTATGGCTTCTCCTTTGTGATTTTCAGGAAAGAAGATTTCTGCTCTTGGTTCCAGTTATCTGTATAGTCAGTCAAACTGAAGAAATCCCATCCCGCCCCCATTCAAATTGTTAGCTGCTCGAGGTGGCACACGCATGTAATACCAGTGGCAGGAGGATCGTGAATTCAAAGTCAGCCTCAGCAACAATGAGGCATGCTAAGCAACTCAGTGAGACTCTGTCTGTAAATTAAAAATTCATATTTTTTACGAATACTGGGGCTAGGGATGTGGCTCAGTGGTTGAGTGTCCTTGAGTTCAAACCCTAGTACCCCCCAAAAATTCAAATTGTTATCAAGTGGCTAGGATGTATCTTATTAGGTTAATTTAATCTGCTTTAGTGCTTTATAAGATAATTAAGTATCTGTGGCGTAAGTGTACAAAATAGAAGCATTCTATTCCATGATCATGTGGAAGTTTTTTGCTCTCCTTTCAGGGACAGTCCTTCAGTAGACCTTTCTCAAAGATTCTGATTTTAACATTTTTTTAAATTTATTTTGAAGTAATTATAGATTCATAGGATCTTGGAAAAAAAAATGTACACAGATTAGTTCCAGTTCTTCACCCACACTGACCCAGTGATAACATAAAGAGAATTATGTATCAAAGCCAAGCTTATCCAATTTTACAAACATGCACAAGTGTACACAGACAACACATTTCCATGTGGTGTTCTCTCATGTAGCTTCATGTAACCACCACAACAATGAAGGTAGACTTGGTAGGTCACTTTCCTTGTAGTCCCATCACCAACTTCAGATCAAGACTTCATATTGTTGGGGGCTACTGATTTGAGCGTTTGTTAGCATAGTTTTTGCAAACACACAGTGGCATTTTCTTTATTTTTATGAGATAATTATTGGTTCTCTTCTCAGTAGTCTTCTCAGTAGTTAAAGCATGGTTTATTTGCTCTATTTGAAGGGAGTGAAATAATGAGCATATGCCCCAAAACATAAGTATTTAAGTTGCTGATTTTAGTTTTGGAGCAAATCCACCAATTCTGGCACAGCAGCAGTGGGTTAAATACTAAGAAGTTCTTTTAGTGCTGGATTTCAAAACATTTGAGACCTACTCAGTAACTAGTCAATGCCTTTATTCTAATTCCTAAAACAGTAAGAAGACTATTGATGTCCCAGAACAAAGCTCTGATGTATTTGAATTGAATAGGCCTAGCTTTCTAATAAAGAAACAGCAGTCATTTAGCAGCATACTAATCATTGAGTTGGCACACCGAACTCTGCCTCACTCACAATTGTCAGGTAATTACTTAGTCCAATGCTTAAGAATACATAATCATACCTATTATTTATGTGACATGAGGATCTAAATTATTTTTGTACCTAGTATATAAAAATTAAAGTGTTTAGGAAATAAGTCCAGTGTTACTAAACTTTCTGTGCCCAGTATTTGCTGATAAATCTGCAATCTAGGAAAACAATTTGTATTCTATTCTAATACTATAACCTCACTATTTTACTTAGGAACAAACTCTTTTTTTTTTTTTTTGTACCATTTTTGTCAAGGTTTATAGGGGAGAGAGGTTTCTGGAGTTTAAACTGATTGGTCCAGAGTCACTAAGCTCCGCTCTGATTAAGTAGTAGGATATGTGTTGAGAAGATAGTGATCTTGAACAAAAGCAACTTGGGGTATTTATAAAGAATATGTTCTGCCAGTATAATTGTGAGGTTTTGTTAGGAATTTAATATAGTGATAATGCAGCAGAACCTCAAATTGAAAATCCCATCGTCTCATAAAGCTTGACTTGGAAGTCTGTGTAGAAAGACTAGCCAAAAAATTACGTTTTTTGAATATTCTGGAAAAGGTGATCACCAACCCTTATTCACAGGAAAAGATAATCAGCATTAATGACTATAAATGAAAAGAATGAGAAAGGAGGCTGGATTATTTTCTTTCTTTTTAAATACATTGATTCAATCTGCTATTTATTTTTTTATGTGGTGCTGAGGATCGAACCCAGGGTCTTGCACGTGCCAAGCGAGTGCTCTACCACTGAGCCACAACCCCAGCCCTGGATTATTTTCAATAAACAAGTAAACTAATTTTTATGGAAAAGTCATTCTGAACGTAGATTTTAAATGTCAGAAGAAAACCAGGGTTTTTTCAGTTAATACTCCCTCCCTACTTTTCATGTAATTAACAAGTGAAACAACTAGAGATGTTTTGAATGGCTGTACAGAAGTTAATGAAAAAAACATTAGGTTGAAAACAGTCTATTCAATGGAAATATATATATAGCCTTCAAAGAGCAGAATTTAATGATAAATAATTTTAGAAATACCACATTAGTCACTAAGCTTATAATGTTAAGGATGTCAGTAGTGCATTGTACTATAGTGGCATGTAAAAGGCAAAAGCAGATCAGTGTCTTAGCAACCAATTAGCAAACAGCAGTAGTAGTGATGTCATATGTCAAACACATCCACATACAGTTGTAATAACAGGGAGGAGCTGCATATAATGTTTGTTTACCCTCAAAATATGTTAACATCAGTTTACATTAGTTTCATGCTGTACAATAGGTGTTACTATATGTTACTGTATGGTTGTAGTAAAAACAAAGGTCAAAATATTTTATATCAGTGATGTCCCACATGGGTGCCATTCTTAACCTAAGGAATAGTTCTTCTTTCACTACAAAAGCAGTACAAATTCACGACTTTGCTAATGGTTTATGATCATTGAGTAATACAGCTAACATGTACTGAGAACATACTATGCACTAGGGATATATAAGTTCTAAGAACTTTACATGTGTTGTTTTACCTCAATTTTAGAATAGCACTGAGATGGATGCTATTTTATTATTATGATTTCACAGATGAGAAAGCTGAGGCCAAGAGTACCTTGCAGAGGTCCATAGCTGTAAGTGACTGAGCCTGTGTACCTCCCACTGACTCTACTCAGGAAAGTTAATGATTGCAGGAGAAAGCCAAAGGAGTAGAGAATGGCGGGCATCAGTTGGGATCCCTGAGGATAGAGTGGGGAAAGGAAGAGAGATGCATTTAAGAGTGACTAGAGAATTTGGAAATGGCGAAATAAAAAAAAAGTGTGAGCATGAAGAGGTGAGATTATGAAAAATAAATAGCCCCCAAAAGGCTTGGTGCAAGAGAAACAGACTAGAGGAAATAGAACCGTGAAGCGAGCGAGGCCTGAATTGTGAGCTGCCATTGTTTTCCTTCCTATACCTGCCTTCACCTTTCATCAGACACTCCCTCTTTTGGAGGCTAACATTCGGTTTGGTTAGTGGGCTTTTTATTATTATGATGATGATGATGATTAAACATTCAACTCCTGGGCACTTGGTGAAGGTTTGTGTAGCTTTTCCTTAATGGGACTGGGGTGTAGAACTTTATAGGAATTGTCTAATCTTGGAAAATACTGTATATGAATCATCTTCTTCCACAGGTGACCACTTAATAAATCTGTAAGTGAAGGTACCATGGCCTTAGAGATATAAGCATGCTTTAGTAATACTCTCAAATAGGTCATCAGAGCCCATTCTTTAGAGATGTATTCCTGTGTACTTATGGGAAATCTCACCAAGAAGGTTTTGATACTTTTGTGAGAGGTACTATATTTTGCCATAGTATCACAAGCTTATCTTTCTCTCCAAAGCATCAAGGCCAAAACAATTAAGAATTATGGGGCATTGGTTGGGGGGCATAGCTCAGTGGTCAGTGGTAGAGCACATGGTTAGCATGCATGATGCCCTAGGTTTGATCCCTACCCCCCCCAAAAAAAATAATTGTAGAGCACTTACCAAATCCAAATTACATAATTTAATCATCAGCCTGATAGAGGTATAACAGCTAAAGTGTTCTTTATCTCTTCTCTAACCATCATTGTATTTTCTTATCTTTTTCTGATTCTCTCAGTACTGAGAAAATGATCTTGCATTATGTAAGATCTATGTATATACTTAAGAGAATCTTTATAAAATCATCTAAGGATTTTTAAAATTTGTTTTATATCTTCAAACTGCTTTACAGAGTAAATAGTCAAAAGTATAAAAGTGCTAGACCAATGATTATGAAAATTCACAGGAAACTGATTACCAAAACTTCAGCCATTTTTTAAAGGATTTTTAAAGAAATATTTTTAAAAGAGACATGTATAAAATTAGATTATAGGAGTGCTTTTTAATTTTTTTGAGGATTGTACATTTTTCATTGAAAACGTTTTAAAAGCGAACTTCCTTAATGGGACTGAGGTGTAGAACTTTATAATAGTGTTGTTTGTTATTCATGCTTTGACCTTTCTTTGATGGGGAAGGAAAAAATCACATAGGCACCCCTGATAGGTCCAGGAAATACCTCTCACCGTTTGAGTTGAGTTTGGAGTTGTGTGCACTGTGTAAAACCATGTTTAAAATACTGAATGCTAATTAACAGCCTGCTTTCATCTGTAATTAGCATTCTCTCGGAGGTGTTGTCATCACACATCACAGTACAGGCCTGTCATCCACCATTGAAAGACAATTATGCAGTACTTGACCAGAATATTGAACATGTCTCATTTGGGAGAAAACAGCACCCACATACACCTTAATGGAAAAATTGACCAGACCTTTGGCAGTGTTATGACTGCTGAAGGAACATAATAACCAGCTCCACTTACACCCAGTCTATATTCCCAACACTGAAAGACATGTACTTGGTAGAAACAGAAAACTAATAAAATGGAATTCCTCTGTTGGCAGAGTGCACGTATTTATACATTCTTCTGTGTTTAGCTCAGTAGTCAGAGAACACTTCCTGGAAAGGCTGCAGGACATGAATGTTTTAAATTTGAGCTTACATATTTCATCTAATCGGTCCTCAGGACAAGGTTGACAGCCCTTGAGGTGGCTTGGCTCAGCTTGTAAAACATACTAATGAGTTTCAGGTTTGGGACAGCTGCTCCATACTGGACAATCATGTCAACTTGGAGTTGCTTTCCATGGATTTCTTCAATAATCATGTGATGCCTCTCTGGACAGTGGATTCTTCTGTGTCCAAACAGAATTGATTGCCCTTGACTGAGGTAATCAATAATTGCCACTGTCTGAATTTTGGTTTGAGCAGATTCCTTCATTTTGATAAAAATGAGGAGAAAATGGGGTAAAGTGTGTCTGAATATTTGGATGCCTTGAAGGACACTTAAAAATAACCCTTAGCTAGGGCTGTAGTTGGGTGGTAGAGCACATGCTTAGACATGCAGGAGGCCTTGGGTTCTATCCCCAGCACCAAAAACCAAAAATGACCTACAAGTCTTGGTTTAGGCTGTGTATGCTTTGTTTCTTCTCTCAGCTGTTTGAAGTAAGAGAAAATTCAAAGTCATCTTTCATCTTTTTTATGCTGTCATATCATCTTTTTTGTGCTGAGTATCTAGCAATAGTTTAGGGAGTTATCCGCTCCAGCTAGCGCCTCACCCTCTAAGTCATGGAAGTGGAGTAGCTGCACAATGGAATTTGTTCTGTGTAGATGGGAAGAAAGGAAGCTAGTGCAGTCACAGACATCTCTCAGGACTAAAAAGCCCAAGCCATGTATTATCCTACTCTATCCTGCATGCCTTTGGCCACGTTTACAGGCTTCATTCTGACTAGTTAAGAAGAGAGATACAGTTACTCAGCTTTGCAGATCTCTTGCTGTTTGTTCAGAGTGAGTCAGTTTGTGTTGGGCCAGAAGGGAGGAAGAAAGTGTGGATTTCACAAATTGCTTCACCTGTGGAAGTTTGTCCACGGACTGTAATTTCTTTTGGAATTGGAGAATTTCCATTTCTGTATTTCTCTGTTTTGCTATTCATCACCTGTGAGGTGGAGCACCAGGCAGCGTTGTCAGTGCCACATCAGTGCTAAATGCTTGCTCTAGTGGTGGTTTCCTGTTTGAGATCCTGAGTGACAGTGTAGAGTAGCATGCAGCCTTGCTCAGAATGTCTTGGGTTCCTCCGTGTTCCTGACCAGGTCTACCAACCCAACTGTCCTGGCCTTACAACATTTGGGAAATTACTTCATAGTTCAAAAACCTTGGTTTGTTCAAGGTTCTGTTTGGATAATAGCTGCTTTTCAGGGCAGAAGTTTAATGAATGTGACAGTGTCTGGCAGATAGGTGGAGCTTGAGAAACAGGTAAGTAAAATGAAAATAGTCATTTGTAAAAGCCCCAAATACCCTGATAGCTAGAGGAAGAGAGGGAAAATAGTTTTTGTGTCACGTGTCACAGAACACTTCAGGACATAGTATCTTTAATCCTTACAACCTTATTTTACAGATGCAGAGCTAACAGGAAGTTGTCAGTCTCAACACCTGGCAACAGTGGATTGAGATTCAAGTCTTCCTATTCCAAACTTGTGTTTCTTTTACAATATACCGATACATTGATATATTCAGTTGATGTATTTTATAATTAAGTTTAAATATTTGATGATTCTAGAAAGGAAATAAGCGATCAGAATGGTAATAGTACTTATTCAAGGGCAGGGAGTTCATGTGCCCATTTTATATGACTATAGCTAAATGGTTACCATTTAAGACAAACTCAGGAAACTCTGGCCAGTCACTCCTCATTTTGTTTGACTTTAACTCCGAAACACCTCCTGGGGATACCTGGATGATTTGAATATCTCTGGGATGTCACTGTCCAGTTTTGAAATAATTTTATAAATGGGTTTCTTCCAGGAAGGATCTGAGTCTCTCCCTGTGGAGACAGCCCTGAAGAACTCTTGCAATGTCACGCTGGCAATTTCCAAGAAGCAATCTGGGACCTGCATTCCCAAGGAGACCCCAAAGAAAGGAAAGACATGAGGCTGGAAGCACTGGTGCCACGGAGCCCTGCCCCCCCCCCAGACAGATGCTACCTGTTTCTTGGGTAGTGGGATCAGAGCAACCCTGCTCTAGCAGCCCCTGACTGCTGCAGCCTAGGTATGCCCTGCTCCCTCTCCAAACACAAACCTTGAAACGACAGCTCCAGTGAGAGAGCCCTGGGAGAAAGTGTATTAAGAAACACTCCCCTTGTAGGAGGATCTGGTTTCATTTGTGTGGGCTTTTTAGTAAGTTAGTAGAAACTAATTAATTGAAATTAAATCTGTGATTCAAAGAGGTTTGTAGTATTTTCCTCAGACCTGTTGTGGAAAGATGTATCCCCCATGTCTATCATACCTTACCCCACTACCCTTTAGGGCTGGATCCCAAAGGCTTACCTTCCTGCTTCCAAAGCCAATGGAATGGAGCTGTTCCAGGACCCTTACCCAGACTGGCACCATAAGTGACGCTGTGGGACACAGCGTCCAGATCCGGCTTGGCCTAGGACTTGCTGCCACTACCTGCTAAGTAATCACCCCCACATGGAAAGGTGTGGTGGTGCCACTGTCCCACATGCCCTGGCTCCTTTTCCTCCCACAGGTAGGCTTAGGTTTCCCAGCATTCAGCCTGAGCATCCAGCCAGTGGGCACCAGCAGTTCTTACATCATTAGAGATATCAATAAACTGCTCCTGTGATCACAATCGAGACAAAAGCAAGAGGGAAATGCAGTCTAAGACAAGACACACCTGGCATCTCCAGAATGAGATGCATCCTAACAGCTGCCAGCTGTCCAAGAGGCTCCTCCACCTGTTTCCTGATAGGAATTCACACTAATGACACTGAGGCTCACCCTTCACTATCACCCCTAAGGTGCCACCAGTGTGCCTTCATAGGGATCCCAAGGCTCAGAGGCTTGAGCATCTTTTTAAAATATTTTTTAGTCGTAGATGAACACAATATTTTCTTTATTTTTACGTGGTACTGAGGATTGAACCCAGGCCTCACACGTGTGAGGCAGGTGCTCTACCTCTGAGCTACGGCCCCAGCCCAAGGCTTGAGTATTTTTATTTGTTATAAAACTGTACAAGTGAGAATATAGATACAAGCCAAATGATGAACAGAAATTGTTCAGGAAATCTAGGCCAAAACTCGTTGCTAGCATTTAATCCTGAGTCTCCTGACAAAGATAAAAGGGTCAAGCAAATTCTGAAATTTGATAATTACAGAATAAGTCTAGACTGGCATAACTCCTGGTAGACTTCTGCTTATGTTTCAGCATGAAGATGGGCGGTATTTGCTGCATCTACCTATTGCCTGAGTGCAGATGTTTAGGCTGAGATCTCTGTTGGTGATACAGAGATTGGCTCCAGGGCCTTGTGATTCTCAGTGACAAGGAGAGACACCATCGAGGGGATCTTTTCTCAAACACCCAGTCCCATAGGAAAGACACTGCTCAGACCTGATGGGACCCTGGTACATGGTCTTACCTCAAAGTCATTTCCCTTGTTATAGTGCATATTGAGGGCTCGAAAAAGTTCTGAATCACGGAGAACCACCAGCACTTTGGGATTTGTGACACCATCTGAAACCGCTTGACGGGCAAATTTTTCCATTTGGATGTAATAAAACTCACGAAAGTTGCTGAACCACTTGATCATCTGAGAGGTGATGCAGCGGTTGAACTGTGCAAACAAGGAGTCCATCAAGTCAAACATTTGCCCTGAGGTGCTCCAAATCATAACTGTCAGCATCAAATTCAACACAGGGTTGATGTTAATAGCTTCAACCAAATAATGGGACTTCCTTTAGAGAAAGAAGCCGGAGCTATTTACCAGGCCTATTCAGTTGGCCTTCAGAATCTGAATTAGGTCTAAAATGCCCACTAGAAAATAATTCTTCAAGTACTAGATTTATAGAGAATATTTTCATGGTGTCTAAGTGGTCTTTGAAAGAGTCTAGGGTCAAGGTTACTGTGGTGCTAGCGAGCAGCCAGGGAGCCTTCTACTTATGTAAAAGGTTGAGGGAAGTGGTAAGAGTATAGGTCAAAGGGCAGTTTTTAGAGTTACAAAATGAATTGAAATCTAAATCAGAATTTGCTACAGGGATCAACCAACAACTGAATAAGGGGGGAAGACCTGAAAAAACAGCCCTTAGCTGTTATGGAAGCCCCCAGAAACTTTTCCATGGCAACAGGCAAGGTTTGATTCCTTTCATTTTCCTTATTGTCACACTTGATATAAGTCTGACAATGTCTGACACTGTATATAGTTGTTCATAAGGTTTTCATAAGGCTCCCAGCAGAGACAAAACTAGGCCAAAGATTCCAATTATTAGTGTTTCTCTCTCCCCCTACTTTCCCTTTCCATGTATTTCTGGGATTATCCATAACTCAGCAGCCTAAAAATTCAGACACCCAACCTTCCTAGGCCAGTGATTATTTGGGCAGTCTCTTCCCAGAACTGGGAACCACACCAGTTAGATCAGCAGCATGAACAGGAGCTAACATGTGAGGGTCTGGACCTTCCTCATACAGAGCTGGGAGTTTTGCAGGGGCTGAAACTTTGACTTTACCTGGACATCGGGGAAATAAGCCTTCAGGAGGCTGGAGCTGGGGTACCTTGTGAAGAAGAACATGAGTTTGGCCTTCTTCAAGTGACCAGGGTTCAGTCCTTCCTGGATTTATCTCAGTGTCAAGGAAAAGTAACTTTGAAAAACCAGTTACCAAATAATGTTATCAGATTATCCAAATAGCAATTGTCCTGTTCCTTGTGGTTTCTTTTTCTCTTTTTCTGACTGAATGGAGTATTTGCTTCTTTTTTCCATCTCTGGAGACTGGTTATATAACCTGAATGTCTACAGGCAGTCAAGATGCAAAATTTAGAAACATCTTGATATGTGAAGGCATGATATCAAACAGTTGATGTACTCTTGTGTTTCTCCAAAATGGGATGGGAAGAGACAGCAGCTTATATCCCACATAAGCCCTTTTGAAACCCCAAGTAGAGATTTACTTCCCTTCTGCCTCAGTTTCCTCATCTGTAAAATGAGAGAAGTAGCTTAGATTGGTTCCATTCAGGTTCTCATTCTCCAAGTTGTCTTTGCAGGTATGTGAGCCCCAAGCATCTAGCCAAGTTTAGCACAGCACCCGTGTTGCTTCTGCTCCGTCAAGACACTTGAACTGTGCCTGTATCTGCCTTCCATCTGCCTGGCAGAACTTTCTATTATCAGTCAAGCTCCGGTTTAGAAGCTCCATCTCATGTGGAACCTTTCCAAACCAATTTAGGCCTTCCTCACCTTGTGCTCCTGAGGCTTTTTGTACAAATCTCTGTTGTAACAATTACCTTATTGGAATTTTTACTGCATGTTTGTCTCCCCATTTAGACTGTGAGCTCCTTGAGGGCAAGGACCATGTCTTTTTAACTTTGTGTTCCATGTCTTTATCTAGCACTGGGCTAGGCACATAGAAGATGCTCAAAAAATGTGTACTGGATGAGGAAGGAATGGATGATCAACCTATTCCTCACCCTGAGGACAGATTCCTTTCACCTTAAGAACAGGGAGCTGTGGTGCAACTCCTTAGCACCAGAGTGGGAGAGAAAGAAAGACTGTCACTTAATGCTTAGCATTCCCAGGAAAGGACTGGGTGAGATGCCTTCCAAAGAATAACGTTGGGTATTAGATCTGAGTGCTTTCAAACTTCAGACTTTCCTGCAGGATAAATCAGTTTAGCCAAAAGAAACCAAACCCACTAACTATGGTTATAGCTAGCCTAGGCACTCAGGCTGCTGCATGAAAACCCCTGTCCCCCATCTGTTGTCCTTAAAGTTTTGGGTTTTATTTGTTTTAGTACTAGAACCCCAGGGCATTCTAACTCTGAGCTACATCCCCAGCACCCCCTCCCTGTTTTCTTTTTTTCCTATTTTATTTTGAGACAGTTGCTTGCTAAGTTGCCTAGATTGGCTTTGAAGTTACAAACGTCCTCTCATTGGCTGTGCTTCTTATCCTTACGTTGATGAATGCTATGAAAAGAATCTTGTATTTGGGAATCCAAAGACCCAGATTCAGAGGCTGATTTGGCTATTAGCTATTTGACCTTGGGCAAACCACTTAACTTCTCTGGGCCTACTTTCTAAAATTTAGAATATAATGGTTAAAGCTTTTGCTTGGCTGTCAGATCCTGGGTTTGAATCCTGGCTCCTCTCTAGTCTGCCTTGTGACTTTGAACCAAAGTTAGTTTGCTCTATTTCTTTACCTCTCAGATACCTGGGTCGAGAGTGGACACTAGGGAATTGTGAGAAAAACCAGGCTGGAAACCCCTTATCTGAAATACTGGGGCAAGAAGTGCAGATTTCAGAATTCTGTTATAAAGTTAATATGGTGTGAGGGTGTGGGTGTGTGTCACATGTTAATTAACACAGCAGAGGCAGTCTGTAATACAACACACTAATATCTCTACAGCAAAATGTGACTAATTATGCTAAGTGGAATAAAGTCCATAAATAGTCTCCAGTCTGTGTAGGTCAAGTTTTGCCACCAAAACTGATTGACTCACTTTTAAAGGAAAAAGCTAGAGGGCTCTTCAGAGCTTTTGGGTTTTTATATTGTGGCTAAATGGCAGTGGGCATGTACATGTGATCTGCCACAGGAGAAAGTGCCTGATGAGTGCCCCTTGTTCCAGTCTGCACTCCTAGTGACTGTTCTCTTTCACGAAAGCTGCTAGATGGATTTCATGGCCCATGGAGACTCATCTCTAGTGCAGAATACAAGCAGCAGGAAGGAGGGAGTAGTCACTGGGGGCAGGATACTACCTGGAGGGATCCTCAAATCATTGTAAAGACAGCCACATCTTCATCTGTGTGACAAGGCTTGATCTAGGTCTTTTTTAGGATGGGCCCCAGAACTTCCTGATGCTCTCTGAGCCCGATCTTCATTTTTACAGGGCAGGAACAGGCACATGAGGGTGCCTGACAAGTTGACAAAATAAAAAAATCTTTAGGGGCTGAGCCTTCTTTTTTTTCTTTTGATACTGGGGCACTCAACCACTGAGCCACATCCCCAGTCCTATTTTGAATTTTATTTAGAGACAGGGTCTCACTGGATCGCTCAGCGCCTTGTCATTTCTGAGGCTGGCTTTGAACTCAAGAACCTTCTGCCTCAGTCTCCTGAGTTACTAGAATTACAGGCATGTGCCACTGGGCTGAGCCTTCTTGAGGGACCCCCTGCTGCCCAAATTTAGTAGGGAGTTTTAGCCAGTGCTCTCTTAACAAAGGCCCAGACAGCCTTTCTCACAGTGAAAGTCAGTCTATACTGGTATGTGTACTTCCAAGATGACTGTTCCTGCGTGAAGAGGCAATCAGTGCTGGCAAATGATGTTCTTGCCACTGGTTTTAGGGTTGCTCACTGCCTTCCAAGAAAACCCAAGCCATGGGATGTTTCTAACACCATGGACCAGCAGGGGGCGCTCAGAGCACTTAGGACACAAGACCACCTCAGGCTGGGCAATGAGCCAGCCCCACCCCATCCTGCCCTGCAGCTGCCAGACAGGGGACTGGACTTGGACTATGCGCACTTAGATATGACTTCACAGACACATTAACCTCTGGAATCTGTACTCACAGCTGCCCACAATAAATTCAGCGTGTGAACACAGCTCACTAAAAATGCAACACCAAAAATACATTCTCAGGAGGTTTAGTCCTGCAGGATGCTTGTTGGAAGAGGGTTCTTTGGTCCCAAGAATTTGGAACTGCTTACATTTTCCTTTTAGAGCTTCACATGTAGACTTCAGCATGTTAAAGTCTCTGAAAATGGCTGCAGTGAAGAAACTAACCCAGTCAAGTGCAGTGATACATGCCTGTAATCTCAGCAATTTGGGAGGTTGAGGTAGGAGGATCACGTGTTTGAGACCAGCCTCAGCAGATTAGCAAGACACTGTCTCAAAATAAAAAATAAAAAAGGACCGGGGATGTAGCTCAGTGTTAGAACTGGCTCAATTTCCAGTACTCCCTCCACAAAAAAAGGAAAGAAAGAATAACCTAGTATTTGCCAAAAGTACTTTTTTTTTTTTTTTTGGTATCAGAGATTGAACCCAGGGATACTTAACCACTAAGCAACATCCCCAGCCCTTTTTATATTTATAGACAGAGTTGCTTAGGACCTCACAAAATTACTGAGGCTGGCTTTGAACTCCTGATCCTCCTGCCTCAGCCTTCTGAGCCGCGAGAATTACAGGCATGTGCCACTGTACCCAGCTCCTCTGCTCTTCTAACTCAACAACTTTTATCCTGAGTATTACTCTGGGAAACTGTTTTGGGGAGGGGGCTCTGTCTAAAGGCTGTGATAAAATTCAGACTACCACAGGCCATCCTGGACCTCTCAGACTTTCCCAGTTGTGGAGGTGGGGGTCCTCTCCCTCCTGTGCCCAGATCTCGGGTTTCATCCCACCTGGCTGTAGCCTGGAAGCTGTTCCTTAAATCAAAGACTTCTGGTTCTTTCAGGACATCTCTCTATGTCTAGTCTCTGAGAAAAACTCCTCTTTTCCCCAAGAAGTTCTTGGATCCTCATGTATTCCCCATGAATTATCTAACATGCAGGTTTTTTGCCTGTAGATCCATGAGGTTGGGGAAGCCATATCTCAGATGTGACATTCCTTTCGCCTTCTCTGCCCAGGGCTATGAGCAGCTAGTAATCAAATGTCAGAGCTCTTTCTTCCACAGGGTATGTACTGTATTGTGGAAGCCCATTTGAGTTTGAAAGCAAACAAAACTCTCTCAGACCCAAAGGAACAAGTTAGTCATGGTGGAATCCAATGAGTCACAGAAGTAATTAAGTGAACCTTCCCAGGATCCCTCACTCCTAGAATGTGGTTTCCACTTGGTCACACAATTAATAGGGAAGGAAGGTTCAGAGACCATATTAAGAAGATGGTGGAAAATAAAGTTGGTCCCTATGCAATACAGTTATCTGTCCCCGCCTCCTCCTCAACTTCCAGTTTTCCTGCCTCTCTGGGCTGTAGCCATGAGAATTTCAATGACTAGGAAAGGATATATGCACGGAAGAGAAGGGAGTTGCATCTGTGATAGCCTCCAGGCTGTTGTGCTCAGTCTTCACGGAGGGAAGGAGGGGCCGGCTCTCCAGATGGGGCACTGTGGTGAAAGGCAGCGGGCACGGCTGCTGGCTCCAGACCCAAGGTTGCAGAGCAGACTCTATAGAGGGGTGACTTTGTGAAGATGAGTCCAGAGGAGGATTGTCGCTCCAATGACCATTGGGTCCACGACCCAATAGCTGGCTAAGAATCTGATTTTCCTGGACGTGGGAAGGAATAGCCAAGGGATAGTTTGTTGCGGGACCCTGATAGGATTTGGAGATTCTTGGTGAGATAGGGTACCTCAGAGAATCCAGAGGCTTGACTAGTGGTAAGTTTCCTACAGGGACCCCAACTTGTGGCTGGGTCCTTCTGGGCAAGGTGGCCAGAGTAAATAGATCTTTATAGGTCCCTCCCATAGGAGGCGAGGGCTCACTTCCGCCCTCTGGCACTAGTCTCTGGAAACTTCTGCCCTGCTGGGTCAGGTGGCCTGGTGGATTCAAAAGCACCTTTTGTAAAACAGAGTCCACAGCCTGGGATACTGCCCTGGTCAGTTCTTTCCTCAGAATCTCCAACAAAGCTTGTGTTCCAGAAGAAAGGAACCTGAGCTCCTCAGACCGATGTTCAGGCTCAGACACTCTGTGTTTTTCTGCCCCACAAAGGTACGCACTAGAATCCTGATGGCGGTCACTGTCGGTAGCCCAGGGGTTAGACTCACAGCTGTTCCTCTGCTTCTCCCTCAGGGAGCCTTGCCCCTGCTCAGAGCCTCTGGGGTCCTGAGCTGCAGCCCTGGGCTCGGCAGTCTGCAGGATGTGCTGTTGCAGATGTCTCAGCTGTTGCTTGAGCCGATGAAATTGTTCTCTTACCCCGGGACCCCCCTTCCTGTTGCCCCAGGCAGGGCCTGGCTTCAGGGGGCCTTGCTGCATGGGGAGACTCTGCTTCCTCTTTCGCTTCTCTGTGCAGCATGGGCTGTCCCTGGCTTGGGCATTGCCTGGCACCAGGGGGTTGGGAGAGAGACATATGCCTTGGACGATGGTCTCCACTCTTGCCCTCTTGGCCTGGATGTGCTCATCCCCAAACCAGTTGGTATCAGTGAGGCTAGAACTGGAGGCCTGGCCCCAGGGAAAGGGGGAGTCTTTCTCCAGCTCTTGGGAGGCTGGGCTTCTCTCACCTTCCACACAGAGTTCGGCCAGGTGGGAGCAGGTCCCAGACTGAGAAGAAATCAAGATAGAGTTTGGATCCATCGCTTGGCTTCCCAGGCAATTGCTGAGAGCCCTCTGAAGAAGTCGAGGGGCTTCTGGAATCCCTCCTCCCTCTTCAGTGGGACACGCACCCAGAATGAACCGGAGGTCCCTCCTCTGCCCTCAGCAGGGTGAAAAATTTCTGCTGCAGAGGACTGAGGCTCTGGATGCCAGGACTTAGGAACCTCCTGGGCAGACTCCTGAAATTAAAGACAGCAAGAAAACAGTACATGTGACTTGGAGCAGTGCTTTTTAAACTTGAGTGTACAAAGAAAAAGGCCTTGGGATCTTGGTAAAACAGATTTCAAGTCAGTAGATCTCAAGTGGAGCAGAAATTCTGAAGTCCATGCTGGTCAGTGAAAGGAAAGGGACCACAACATTTGGAGCAACCAAAAGATCTTTATTGCAGCAGTGCAACAAAGAGAAAAGAAAGAAGGAGAGAGAGAGAGAGAGAGAGAGAGAGAGAGAGGGAGGGAGGGAGGAAGCGCATGCAGGAGAGAGACAGAGAAAGCAAGAGAGAGAGCAAGAGAGAGGGAGCAAGAAAGAGAGAGAGCAAGAGAGAGGGAGCAAGAGAGGGGGGCCTGGCAGGAGGGAGTTTTTATAGCCCAAATCTAATGGGGCCTCTGGGTCTGCAAGCTGCCTTGTTGGCCCAAGGGGGGTTAAGTGTTCAGCCTTGAGCAGGGTTGAATGTTCAGACTTGAGGCAAACAGGTGATAAAGGACCAGATAGAGGGGGGTTTGAGTGCGTGGGCTATCTTGCAGCCAACATCTGTTCAGCCTGCCCTGCAGACAACACAGTTCAGCCTGCTCTGCACCCAACAGTCAGGACCCCACTTTGAGGAGATTCCAAGAGTGAGCCCTTAGGAGGAAAGATCTTCTGCCTGGGCTTAATGATACATAATAATAATAATGGCAGCCAATTGAGCGTCTGGCATTATGCCAAGAACATGACCTGACATCCCTATTATCTACAATTCAGGAACCAGACTCCAGAGAAGTTAAGGAGTTACCTCCCTAAGATCAAACAACTAGTAAAAGGCAGGTTGGAGTCAAACCAAGATTTGCCAGATCTGGAGTAACTAAGGGCAACAGAATTATCTGGGCACTTGTTAAAAATAGGAAATTTAGAGGACATAGCTCAGTGGTAGGGCACTTGCCTAGCATGTGCAAGTCCCTGGGTTCAATCCCCAGTAGTGCAAAAACAAATCAACAAAAAATAAAAGCAATAAACAAAACTTTAAAAATATATATATATAGGAAATTCATCTGGCCCAGTCAGACCTGCTTGGACCTTTAGTGTTGGGACAGGCACCTGCGTTGGCCATACCAATTAAAAGTTGAAGAATCAGTGCTGTTTGCCCACTATACTACCCTGCTTTCAAGAAGAAAATCTGATTATGCATTTATCACTCAACTATTTAACAACTGTTCATTGAACACCTTCTATATGTCAGGCCACATTCTGGGAAGTTGGAGGGACAGAGTGATCAAAACAGCAGAGTCTGCTCTCAGGAAACGGGCAGTCTATTAGGGGAGGCAGGATATTTTCAGGGCATGATACTTGCCATGAAGAAAAAGCAGAGCGAAAGGTTGAAAACTGGGGTGAAGGGCTGAGGAGGAGGGAGCTACTTTAGGAAAGGCTGCCTGAAGCTGTTTGATTCCCACAAAGTCTGGAAGTACACTGTGCCCCACCCAGGAGGCTTCAGACAAAATCGATCACAGCTGGGAGTTTACAGAGCGTCCTTACACATTCACCACATTGCCTCTCATGGCGACCTTTACAGTTGCATCATATTCCCACTTTACAGATGAATAAACGGAGGCTCCATGAAACCAAGAATGGTTCCCAGTTTCCAGATTCCAAACCTTCTAATTCCAACCATGCCTCGGCCGAATCTCTGAAGATGCAGGGCCTGTGTGAGAGCTTGACTTCTCTGTCCATTAAACAGATTCATCCTTTCCTGGAGGAGGTCAATGAATTTTTTTTTCCCTTTGTAGATTTCCACTCTCCTTTGCGGTTTTTTTTTTTTT